TTTGTTATCCAAGACTATCTTGATAGGTCGCGGTCGAACAGTTTCCGACTGTTCAGTAACCTGCTTGTCTGTCCCGAGGTCTGCACAAACTTCTTCTGTCTTTCGCTGATTGAGAATGTCTTTTAGCAAGTCATGTGATTGTTAAATGAACTAGGATTAGTGTATAACTGTATATTTGCAGAAAATCAAGAGAAAGAAAGCATATTTTATAAGTTTAAAAACTTGATTTTATGGAAGTCATCATATTTTGCCGACAAAACCTACATTTGAAAATGACACGAATGACCTTCAAAAAATTTAACATAATTGGTTGCCTTAATTATTTTGGGACGTTGGACAGTATTTAGGGTTGGGAACAGTACTGACGTGAGTGTTTGCATTTGTTGTAGATGCTGAGGTGTTAGCAAGTTTCCCATCTGTAATGGCACTACTGAATTTGACAACAGACATAGGTTTACCAGGGGTATTCTTAGATCTACGAGATTTTACAGCTAGCATACGCGTGGTTGGTTCGGAATGGGGACGAATTGGCGCTGCAACGATTTCACTCGAATCAGGAGTATTGTAATCGGGTGAAAATTCAGGTGAAATTGAAACTAAAGTTGATCCAGAAGGATTTAGGCTTACGTTGGCTAGAAAGTCAAAATCAGAGACAAGTTTTGGTTAGATGTCGCCTGCTGACAGCCCCCACAGCATGCTGCAATTCATTTTTCTGCATGCCATAGTTTATATTAGGTTTTACCTTTAAAATTTCATCGAAGTCCAGGCTTGCTTGCTTGTCCTACGAAATTCGTGGTGTCGCCTGAACTAAATTAAGTCAGATTGCAGCAATCTCGGACAAAAGATGAGAACAAGAGTCTGAGCATGTAGGAATGTCCAAGCCTCTGGAACAATGCATTGCTTGAGAACACCTATAAGTCACAGTAATAACATCAGTCTTTAACAAGTGCTGAGGCCAAAATATGATTTGTCCTCTTTACGTTATTATAATGACTTTGTACTTAATTTGGCTCAGATCTCTTCTTTTTTGGGAACCTATTCGACAGGAACATCTTGCCTGTAAACTGGCAATCAATAAATAAGATAATAAAATCGCCCGCAAATGAAACAGGATGAAATTAAATAAATGAACCTTTAATGGCCTACTTTAAAGCAATTGAAATACAGACGAATGCAGTAGTCCTACTCAAGGAACCTACTGCAAAACTGGCATATTTTGCATACTTGCATACAATATCAAAGGTCTCGTTCCCGAGCAAATAAACCTTTCAAAATCGATCAATCAGCATCAGTCCGACTGGAGTAGTCCCACGCTTAAGGTGTTATTGTAGTGACCAGCGGCGTTAGGTTTATAACACAGTGAATAACGAGAGGCATTTGGGAATAACGCCTGGCTTAGGAGGGACTTAAGAGAGCTCTTAAGAATTTAATCGTTATTATCACAAGCAATAAAGTAGAGGAAGACTTCAGTAGGTAAAATTATATAACGGAAAGTGAAGGGAATAAAGTATACGGAGTACTAGTTACAAGAGATGTGAATGGAGGAGGTGACACAAAGATGTCCGCTACAAAACCGGTAGGGAATGCAGTGCTGTGTGTAACTGCACCGGATAGCCTAAGAGGATACTGAATGGCCGTTTTAAAGTGGACTTTGGGAATAGTGTACGTGTCCGTGTGTGAAGTCCACCACATACTTTATTCGGCGTGCTGGGTTAAAGACGTCGGCTCTACTGCGAAGTCTCCGTCCAGTTAAAAGTCTGGCAAATATAGCCATCTAATACAGAATGCGCCTTAAATGTTCGAATAGATTTAAGTATTTTCTGAATCTCATAAAAAACCCAAGCAACGGTACGGTTATACAACTTGTTTGTTTGTGCTAATTCCATGCCGTACAACCAAAATTCTGAGTCTCCTTATTGTCATCGGTCATGTTGATCATACAATCAGCTATTCATTTAGTATTGCTAATTTTTATGACATGTTTTGAAACTGGAAAAGCCTCTGAGTCGAAATCTTCCAGTCCTAATTCAGGCAATTGCTCACATGAAATCACAACCTTCTGCAATGATGTAAAAGATAATGAATTGTTGTTGATACGCTGCCTGATGGTAAGTACTTACTTGGGTTTGCTATCCATTTAGGCTGAACCACTTGCCACAAACGCTTTGTCCGATTCCTGTCATAATTACCTCTGGATCCGCCGCGTTCAGATGACTCAGGATAATTACTTTAAGAACGCTTCTAATGGTGTGTGTAACGATGATTTGGACAGGATTCCGGAATGCCAAAAAATTGTCGACGGATCCTCCGAGAGGATACCTTGTCTCTTCGAGCACAAACAAGAAGTTCTGCACTTTCCAATCTAATTTGTGCTTTTTAAGGTGAAAAACCATGAATGCCAGATGTACCTAAATCTCGTCGGTGAGATAATCCTTTCGGACTTTCGCCTTGTCTACGGCTTCATTGACTCATGCAAGAAAGACATTGAAAAATTTAAGTGCGGACGTGTCTCCGTAGGTCCTGCCAACGTAAATCGATTAAGCGTCCTCTCACAAGGCGAAACAATAAATTGCCTCAGCCTTCGTATTGAGAAGCTGGATTCCAAATGCGCTCATCAAATTTTCAGAATTTCTGAGTTACAGTCGGATGACTTTCATCTTGATCGTCCACTATTTTATGCTTGTCGAGGAGATCGCGAACGTTTATGCGGGGGCGTTGTGTCCGGAGACGGACGCGTTTTTGATTGTTTAATGGATCACAAATTCGACGAAGGAATGTCTTCAGAATGTCGACAACATTTGACGAAGAGGTTTGCCTTGGATGTCTATTTTTCTCCATAGTTTTTTTAGGAAGTTTGAAAAGCTTTTTTATATCTACCTTTAACACACGTGCAACCACTAGTTTTGTTCATTGATTTACACCCTACCGAAAGCCGAATGAGAATGGTTTCCCTCTACTATTTGACACTTCAGCCCGAACATGTAATTAGGAACTGCGCAGTTCCAGTACTCAATTTCGCATCAAGACTTTATACAAAACACATGTGCTAATGTAAACAGAGCTGCCAATTTTGTGTTTTGGCTATGTTAATAATAGTTTTTTAGTTGAATTAAATTGATCAGCGAATTTAAGAACTCTGCCTAGAGGGTTTACTTGCACATTTACATAACCAAAAATAGATCGTTTTCATAGCCTTTTCTGTGTGTGCCTTAGCTTTCCAACTTAAAATGTTATCAGTTGCCGGGCAAACGAAAACTGGATGCCCCATCAACGCGGCTAATTACAAGTGTTGTCTGAAAGCATAGTTTTTATAAAGCAAAGTGTATAGTCTTTATTGGTCCCCTGTTAATCAATTGTTCGTCTGTATCTGCTATTTTATAAATAAAAATTTATATTCCATTTTTTATAAGTATGGGCCACCAGCGCACCAGTACCGGTAATTTAAGTTGATTTTATTCTTATTCAAACTTAATCGTGCACTGCAATTCCTCATCCTTGGATGCTTTAAGATCTCTACTTAACCTAGTCTACAGTGTGTGTATCCGCCTTAAATTTTATAAAATGTGTATCACGAAGATCATATAAATTATTGAATGTCTTTTAACCGGTACCCGTCGGCACAGAGCACATTCACAGGTGCTTGGATAAATGATTAGTGTTCCGGGAATACGCATTCCACCAGCCTCCTGATTTTTTTCTTAAAAATGTTTGTCTGCATCGCAAATTTCGAATGTGTTTAACGAAAATAATTCCCAGCAAGTTGAGAACTCTGAGTCTTATTTTCACAGAAGCCGTTTCAAAAATGGCATTAATTTCACAGTTTTTAGAGATTGAATATTAACAATTTAAAACACAAATTCAGAAGAATAAGTCACTGTAAATGCCATCAAGGAGTTAATATTTCGGGTTCTTCCGGTGTCAAAAAGCAATGAAAGAAATATGTACAACGTAATATGGGGTCTCGTCCGGGCAATGTGCTTATTACCGACTGACAGTGTTATACGGCAAGCCTGTATATTGAGGTATATAAATTAGTCTAAATTCGTGTTACTACTTGTCTTTACTATGACTGTACGCAAATAATATTGAATTTTCTTTTTAACGTGAGTTGAATCTGTAGATACAAAGATATCAATTTCGGCGCACAATGAGCACTTTAGTCTTTTTTCCACATTGTAGTAGTCGACACATTTGTTATGATAACCATTATGCGAAAGAAAAAGGTGATTAATTTATGCACCCGAAACCAATG